AAGATCGGTGCCCGTGGATAGTTGGTATCCTCCTGCTTCCCTTTCCCCTTTACATGTCGTGCAACATAATTCGTTCGAGCGGGTGCCGTGCTTCCGGACTATGTGTGCTTGATCTGCTGGTTGTTGCATTGGCTCAAGGATCTATTCTGCCTGCTGGAAAGCCCGCACGGGCGGACCCAGCAAACGCAATCTATCTTCGCTGCCGAGTCCATCGAGGCGGCTCGGGAGCTCTTCTGGCCAGTGAAAGTACAGCTAGTTGTCCAGAGGAGGGCGGAGCAGCCCCAGATGGCCGTTGTCCCTGTCGCGGCAGCCCGTAATGTAGGCGGCGTGGGTCTCAGAGAGTGGCCATCCGCCTGGTGCGCCACCGTGGACAAGGCCGCGCGGCAGGAGCCGGCGGACGCGAGTGCTACCACCACGGACAGCGAGCAGCACGAGGCGCCCGACGTTGCCGCCCTGCGCGGCCACTTGGATCTCGTCCTCGCGAGAGCCGTGCCGACCGTGCCCGAGGTCCAGCACCTGTGGGCGTGCCTCAGCGAGCTGGCGCGCTCCCTCGCGCCGCTGGGGCAGGTCTGGCGCCTATCGCCATTCGGGAGCGTGAGGAATCTGCTGCTCACCCGCGGGTCAGACGTCGACGCCACCATCTACAGGTCGGACGGCCAGGACGAGGGCGACTCCGCCGCGGCGGTGCGGGTCCTGCAGGGCAGTGTGCTGCCGCTATTGTCGCAGAGCTCGAGGTTCGAGGTCGTCAGGCTCGTCCCCGGGGCCAGGATCCCGGTGCTGAGCCTGCGCTTCGATGGCGCCGTGGACGTGGACCTTTCCTGCCACAACACGGAGCCGCTGCGGACCTCGCAGCTGCTCCGCGCCTACGCGCAGGTCAGCCCGCTGGTGCGGGGCCTGGCGCTGCTGGTGAAGCTCTGGTCCAAGGCCGCGGGCGTCTGCAGGGCGCAGAGCCGGAACCTGACCTCCTACGCGCTGGCGCTGATGGCGATCTACTTCCTGCAGGTCCACCCCGACTTCGGGCTGCCCCTGCTCTCCACGCAGCTCTTCGACGGCTTTGGGCGCCTGCCGCCCGCTCCGCGCTGGGAGTGCCGGGCCCCGCTGCCCGGGGCGCTGCGGCAGTTTTTCGCGTTCTACGCGCGGGAGTTCGAGTGGGGCAGGGAGGTCGTCTCTGTGCGGCTCGGCCGGCGGTGCAGGGCTGGCGGCCCAGAGTTCACCCTGTTGCCGAATGCCGCGGATCACCGCCTGCACGTGGAGGACCCCTTCCTCACGGGGAGGAACCTGAACTGCGTGCTCGGCCTCGAGCAGGAGGCCCAGCTGCAGGCGGCGCTGCGCGCCGCCGAGGCCGCGCTGCGGGGTGGCGGCCTGCCACTGGGCCTGGGCGGCGTGGCGGTGAGCGCCGGCGGAGGGCTTGCTGGCTGCGGGTGGTGATGGTCCGCGCGGGGCTCATGCCGCGGGAGACCTGCGGGGCGGCCTTCTGGGCTGGCCCGCTCTAGGACCGAGGGGGAGGAGGAGGACGCAGGCTGGAGTCTTCGAGGCGAATGCTTCCCTCGGGGATGGTTGTCGGCATCGACTCCTCCTCGTAATCCGTTTGCGCTGCCGCGACAGTCACCGCGCAAGCTTAGTAACTAGCACTACTGTAGCCTGGCTGGGCCGTGGCGTTGTATAGATGTCCGAAAGAGCGCGTTCTGTGGTCGCTTGGAGGGGGGGGGGGTTGGAACCGGACCCCCCCCCTCCTGGCGGCTTCGGTGGCTGGCGGCGGCGGCGGCGGGGACGACGATTTCCTTTTTTGGGCCGGCGCCGGCGCCTGCGGCTGCGGGCGGCGGCGGCGGCGGGGAGCGTCGACGACGAGGACGGTGGTGGTGGTGGTGGTGGTGGTAGTGGGTTGTGGTGGTGGTGGTGGTGGCGGTGGCGGTGGTTGTGGTGATGGTGGTGGTGTGTGGTTGTGGTGGAGGTGGTTGCTGGTGGTGGTGGTGGTGGTGTGGTGGTGGTGGGTGGTGGTGGTGGTGGTGGTGGTGGTGGTGTGTGGTGGTGGTGGTTGGTGGTGGGTGGTGGTGGTGGTGGTGTGGGTTGTGGTGGTGGTGGTGGTGGTTTGGTGTGGTGGTGGTGGTGGTTGTGGTGGTGGTGGTGGTGGGTTGTGGTGGTGGCGGTGGTGTGGAGGTGGTGGCTGGTGGTGTGGTGGTGGTTGTGGTGGTGAGTGGTGGTGGTTGTGGCGGTGGTGGTGGTGTGGCAGACTGGTGGTGGTGGTAGTGGTCGTGGGTTTTTGAGGTTGCGGTGGTGATGGTGAGTTGTGGTGGTGGTGGTGGTGAGTTGTGGTGGTGGTGGTGGTGGTGGTGGCTGTGGTTGTGGTGGTGATGGTTGTGTGGTTGGTTGCTGGTGGTGGTGGTGGTGGGTTGAGGCGGTGGTGGTGGTGGTAGTGGTGGTGGTTGTGGTAGTGGTTGTAATCGTCGCTGCGTCCCCGCCGTCGCCGGCGCCAGCGCCGGCGTTGCTGGCCGCCGCCAGCGCCTGCGCCGGCGCAGGCGCCAGGGGGGGGGCCCCCCGTGGGCTGCCTCTGGTCATCGTCGCTGCGTCCCCGCCGTCGACGCTGCTGGCGGCTGCCAGCGCCGGCGCCGGAGCCGGCGCCGAGGGGTGGGGGTGGGGGTTTGAACCCCCCCGCCTCGGGAGGGGGAGGGGGGCTTCGGGAGGGGGGGGGGTTTGGGGGGGGAGGGGGGTCCCCCTGGTTTTGATCGACGGCGCCGAGTGTTGGCGGGGGGGTGCCCACCCCTCGGTTCGAACCGCGCCGCCAAAAGTTCCCAAGGCAAGCGCCCGTGAAACGCGCTCTTTCGGCTGTCGAGATGCCCCTTGAGGGCGTGTGTGGGGCCCCTATGCGGGGTCCTTCTTGGCCTGGCCCGTCACGGGCTTCTGCGGGGCCCACTGGGTGACTCGGGGCCGTCTGGGGTGGGAGTCATGTGGCCACCTTTGGTTGATTTCGTTTCGTGCCGTTTTTGCGCCATCTTGGATTGGGTGATCTTGGGCCATGTTGAAACCGCTTTGGGCCCTCCTGGATCGCTGGGGCGTCGTCCACGGCGCTTTGAAGGCCATCCAGAGACAAACTGGAGCTCCCATATATGTTAAGTGCTTGAGGGCTGCGAGGAGGCCCTTGAGGAATCTCGGAGGCCTGTCAGGGTTCGATCGCTGTCCTGTGGGTTGATGGTGTCGTCAGGGGATGTTCGGAGGCCCTCTTGAGGGGCCTTGCGGCCATCCAATCAGGTCTTGATGCGGCCACGGTGCCACCGTGTTGTCCGAGCGTTTCCTGAGCCCGCCCATGGGCCTTCCCTGGGGTGCCAGGGGACCGAGACCTTGGGGCCGGGCCTAGTACCCCGAAGAGATCAATCGACCGACTTTTGCAAGAGAAGCCGAAGCAGCTGAGGCCTGGGTCTTAACTGGCAAGGCTTCTCGTGGACCGTCTCGGGGCCCCCTGCTTGCCCTGCTTCGCCGCAATCGGTGCGCCCCTGCACACGACACCGCGCCTGCCGGGCGACGAGTCGCCGCAAATGGCAGCGGCGGAGGGCAGGGAGGTGGCGGTCGGGCAGGCCGCCGCCCTGTTGCGGGGGTCGTTGCAATGGCCGCTTTGGTGCCTACCGGGTCGGGCGAGGGGGGGGTGGTGGAAGAGGGGGAGGGGCAGACATCCAGCATCCCACCCCTCCGTCCCCCAGCCCTCCCCCCTCGCTGCCCTAGCCGTCCCCAAGAGGGGGGAGTGGGGGGAGGGGCAGGCCGGGTGCGCCCGCGCCACGCCTGACTTTCTCTCCCTGCTTGCCATCCCTTCCCACTGCGCTGATTCTGTGGGACTTGCGGGAATTGTTGGTTGGTCCTCCGTGACCCGCGAGACCTGTGTGGGTCCTGTGGGGGCGGCGGGACCTGTGGGACCCGTGGGACCGGCGGAACCTCCGTGAGACCTGTGAGACTTGCGACACCTGTGGGATCTGCTGGACCTGCGGGACCTGCAGGACTTGTCAGACCTGGGAGACTTGTGGGACTTGCGGGACTTGTGGGCCCTGCGAGACCTACGAGGCCTGTGGGACCCGCGAGGCCTGTGGGATCCAGACAATTGGTTCACGCTGTGGCGAGAGCGCCATTCTGAACGACGGGAGTAGCGCGCCGATCCGAAAACGGAACACCATTTTGGAAAAACAGCGTTACCGATCGGAATGTCAGAACACATTCGAACGAGCAGCTTTTGAAATCCTGGGTGTGAGCCATGCGGAGGGGGCGGGACCACGCCCCGGACAATGTCAGGGGAGAGGGGAGAGTGGTGTTCGTATTGACTAATTGAAGTTGGGAGGGCCGTGCGCGGTCGAATGCCCCATTTGGCCATTCGCCCTCCGACGGGTGGGCGATACTGAAGCAAGTCCGAGGTCTAGGCAGGGGGAGGGCAGCATGGCAGGGTCCATTCCGATCCGATCGATCCGATTCCATGCCGATCTTGGCCGGGCCTGTCCGATTCGACTCCGAGATTCGATCTTCCGAGGATCCGATACGGCCCGCTGCTCGCGCGGCGTTCTTGCGCAGCCTGGCGCGGCCGATCCGGTTCGGCTTCGACTCCATTCAGGAGGGAAAGAAGCACACAGACACAATTAATCGCGATTCCCAAGAAAATATGCGAAGATATGGGAAGTGGGGGGGAAGACAGAAACCCAGAAACTATGGAAACATATGGGGAATCTTTTTATTAGTGTGTAGTTATTTGCGTGTCCCAGGGCCCCTTCATCCATGCCAGTGCGGTGCCGGCCGGTCCTGCCGGGGGCGCTGGAGGGGGACAGTGGCGGGGGGGGCCTGCACGGAGCCGTGCCGGAGCGCGCCGCTGGCCATGGGTGGTCGCACGCCCGCCAGCGGGATCCTCCGTCGTCGTCCTTCGTCGTCGTGTCGTCCTCCGTCGTCCTCCGTCGTCCTCCGTCGTCCTTCGTCGTCGTCGTCGTCGTCGTCGTCGTCGTCGTCGTCGTCACGCCGTCGAAGATGGGCCGGAGGTGGCAGACCGCGCGCGTAGAGATCCACGTGCACACGATCAGTTTCGGCAGTGCCTCACCAGCGCCGTCTCTTCATGCCTGACGGCCCATGGCGCTTTGCCCTGCTGTACAGTTTCTGGGCGCCCTCGCTGGGGTCAGGGTCCCGCTGTGCATTCGTGTTTCCACTGGGGGCGAGTGCGCATGCAATGCGGCAGCCCCGTGTAGTCTGGGCCGCCTGCTGACCCTCCTTTTCTCTTCACTTCTTCACGCCCCTCTCTGTTTATCTCTCTCCCATTGCGCCAATTTCCATTCAGCATGTTTCACCAGTTCACCAGCCTTGGTTTGTGTCTGCACATTTGCCGTATCGCGGATCTGGGTCTGGCATGCAGGTCGTACCGTACCGTCCTTGTCTTTGCGCTCCATCTTCGCGGGGCGCCAGCGTTCGTCGCAGCAGCGTGTGTTCTCTTCCCGCCGACCCGACCCTCGCAGCTAGCGCAACTGGGTTCGGCAGAGTGCACCGATCCGACGCCGAGAAAAGTCACGATGCCGTCCGAGGAACGGCGAGAGACCTCGACCCCATCGCATTGCGGCATGCCTCTTGGCGGACCGATGCGTGGGGCAGAGACGGCCGTCGTGGTTCCTTACACAGCGAAGGCCGTCTCGGGCCGTCGGAAGGCCGACAAGAACTCCTTCAAACACCTGAGGACAATCAATGACTTTCGCCTCTTCAGGCCTTCCCAGGGAACTCCTCGGAGGCCTCTTGGGGGCCTCTTGGGCCGCCTCGGACCATCTTGAAGCTATCTTTGGCCGTCTTGGGTGCATCCGGGGCCGTCTTGATTGCATCTTGGGGCCATCTTGGGCTCTCATTGGGCCGCCGAGGCAGTCTTGGAGGCGTCTTGGAGGCATCTTGGAGGCCATCTTGGGCCGTCGTTGCCGTCTGAGGGGCCATTTGGACAACGGGAGACGAACTTTGGCAACCTTTCTGGGTGGTCGGCGCGCTGGACCGAAGCCCCTGAGGGAGGTCTTTTGGAAAAAGAGCCCAAATGCGGGTCCCAGAAGTATACACCACCACCACCACCACCTCTATGCCCTATCCCTCCTCCACCCTCATCTGCCTCTCATCTTCCCTCCTCCACCCTTCCCTCCTTCTTCTCGCACCTCCTCATATTCCTCCTCCTCCTTGTCCTCCTCCTCCTCCCCCTCCCCCCCCCCCTCTCCCCCTCCTCCTCCTTCTCCTCCCCCTCCCCCTCCTCATCCCCATCTGATCCCGTTCAGTTTCGGGGCGAAACCCCTGTCAGCCTTACGCGACAATCCTTTGGAGTGACGAAACGCGCCACCTGGCGCCCGCCCCCACGCAGCGAGACGGCGCGACGCGCGGCATGGATTCTGGCATGAATTCCGGCGTGAATCCGGTGTGAATTCGGCTTGAAAATGACATCACAATTTTGCAGAACAAGAATCCAATTTAAATGGTGCATGGCAAATTTGCGCCGCATTTTTGTCGTGCGTGTGATTTCGTGGTCGTCACGCCACCCTGGGCGCCCTCTGGCAACTTTTTCATGCCACCCCGCGGCTTCTCCCTCCAGCTCTCAGGTGGACGAGAGGCGAGTGGTCTCCACCCTCGCCCCCCTTGGGCCCTGGGCATGCTTGGCCAACTCAGCGGCATATCGTTGAACATCAGGCGTGTCGATGCAGGACTGTCGGTCCCCGGGGGCGAGGGCGTACTACCCCTCACCCCCGCGACGCGCCTCCACGTCGAATAAAAAACTGGCACCGATCGATGGCACCGCGCGCGGACCAACGCGGAAACGTGGTCCTCAGTGTCCGCCGTTGCGCCCTAGGCGTCGGCGCCGAGTCCCCAGGCGTCTGGGACGCATGCGAATTGCTCCAAAGGGAACTTCGGTTGCTCGTTTTGGTGTTGCGACGCGCGTGAGGGGTGCGCCGAAATCGGCGGGGGGGACCATTCGAACAGTGGCAGCGGAACCTTCAGTAAAGCTTCCGTCGGGGCCATTTGCGGTAAACTTGCAGGATGGCCCAGGAAACCTCAGAGGACGTTTGAGTGGTCAGTTCGGCGGCCCCCAAGTGCATCAAGCTGGCCCGCGGGACCCCGTGGGTTCCGTGAGGCGCAGTGAGACTTGGGGCATGGTTTCGCCTAGGCGTGCTCATCGTTTCAGGTCGGTCAAACAATGCATCCCTGGAGGTTGCATTCCAAGTTGCCTGGTCGTGTTTGTCGTTGTGCCCATGGCGCTGTCTTAGTAATCTGGATGATGTTTGCATCCCGTACCGTCATATTTTCCGTTGCTGGCGTTTGGCTTACAACGGTTCCTATTCGACATAGCCGCCCAGCCAGTCAACATCACTTGAAGTAGCTTCGTAAGGCGTTTTTTCTTCATGCGCATCTTCTGCGGGTCCGTAGGGGCCGACTTGTGGGGAATGGGGGCCGACGGGTGGGACTTTCCACCTGCTTTTCCGGGTGGCCGGCGCATCAGGCCGAAGGTCCACTAGAAACCATTTACAAATACGAAAGCCCACCTTAGTCCGAGGCGGGAATTCATACATGACCACCGCCTGGAGGATCAATTTCGGGGGCATCGGCAGGCGGTGGATGTGAAAATATTAGGGCCCCCGGGGGCCCAACTGTATCCATATCCACCGCGCGCTGGGGTACCAGGGCACCGGTTCCCAGGCGGTGGATCTGGATAAATCCCCGCCTCGCACTTAGCGCGCCCTGCTCCCCTTTGGCAAGCGCAGGGGGCTGCGGATTGAAGACGCCTACGGCGAATCACCGCCGTCCCCTGTTTTCTTGGGAGCGCCTCTGTGGCCGAACGTTGAGGCCAGACGTGCCAAGCTATCTGGCCATGTGTTCCCCGAGTCGGTTTGGAAAGCCATCGGGGAACACGTGGGCATCTTGAAGGTTATCTTGGCCGTCGGGAGGCCGTTTGACCCTTTTGGGCTTTCTTGGAGGACGTCTTGGAGGGCTTTTGGGCCGTCTCGGAGGCCATCTTGAGCGTCTTGGATGCCTCTTCGGCCGCCTTGGGCCTCTTGGGCGATCTTTGGGGGCATTTGGGCCGTCTCGGGCCGTCGGAGGGCCGAGCAACAACAACTGCTACAATCCTTCAAAAACTCATGGGACATCAATGATTTGGTGTTTTTTTCAGGCCTTCCTGGACGCCCTCTTAGGGGCCTCTTGGGCCGCTCTTGGCCATCTTAAGGCCATTTTCGGCAGTCTTGGTGGGCTCCTGGCCCGTCTGACGCCGTCGGAAGTCGTTTGGGGGGCCTCTCTGGGCCGACTTGAATGCTCCAGGGCCGTTTTGGAGGCCATCTTAGGCGTTTTCAAGGCCTTCTGGGCCGTCTCGGAGGCCTCTTGGGGCCGTCTTGGGGGCCTTTCAGACCGTTCTGGGATCATCTTGGAGGCCACTTGGGCGATCTTTGGGCGATCTTTGGGGGCGCTTGGGCCGTCTCGGGCCGTCGGAAAACCGGAAAGAAACAAATGTCAAAATCCTTCGAAAACCTTTGGGGAATCAGTGTTTTTTTTTGTTGCCTTTTTCTGGCCTTCCTGGGGGCCCTTTTGGAGGCCTTGGCCCGTCTGACGCCGTCGGGAGCCGTCTTGGGGGCCTCTCTGAACCGGCTTAGGGCTCTCTTGGGGCGCTTCGGGGCCGTCTTGGAGGCCATTTTGGGCGTCTTGGAGGTCTCTTGGGCCGTCTTGGGGCCCTCTTAGGGCCGTCTTGGAGGCCTCTTGGACCGTCATGGGGTCCTGCGATCTTGAGGGCCTTCTGGGCCGTTTTTAGCTGTCGGAGGGCCGTAAAGGCGAAAATGCAAAAATCCTCGGAAAACTTCAGGACAATCAATGATTTGGGCCTCTTCGGGCCCTCCTGGAGGACCTCTTGGAGGCCTCTTGGGCTGTCTTGGAGACCTCTTAGGGGGCTTTTGGGCCGTCTTGGGCCATCTTGAGGCTATCTTAAGGCCGTCAAGGGTGCATCTTGGGCCGTCTGGGAGACATTTTGGGGCCAACTTAGCCGTCTTGGAGACCATCTTGGCCGTTTTGGGTGCATCTTGGAGGCTATTTTGGGCCGTCTTGGAGCCGTCGGGAGCAGGAAAAACCCTTTGGAACCAGGTCTGGGCAATCTTTCCGGGATCCCGGCGGGACGCGCCCGAGGCCCAGGGGGAGTTTTTTTTTGGAAAGAACCGAAACCCAAACCGAGAGGATTTAGCACGCCAGGCACCCCTTTCGGCCCCTCCCGCCACCGTGCCTAGCTTGTCGATCAGAAGCTTCTGGGATGCCTGTGGGGATCTCTGGGGAGTCCTCTCGGAAGCCTCTTTAAGGCGGTGTTGAGGTTGTCTTGGGGCCTCAGGGGCGGAGAGAGCGAATTGTCAGTTCGAAGTTCTCCTCTTGAAGCCCTCTTGTGACCCTTTTGGCCCTTTAGAGGTCATCTTGGGTCGTCTTAGGCCTCTCTTGGGCCGTCTAGGGGCCCTCTTGGGCTGTCTTGGAGCGTCGGAAGCCCGAAAAGGTGAGAAAGCTAAGCTCCTTCAGTTATCTAAGGAGAATGCATGGTCTTTGGCCTCTCGGGGCCCTCTTGGGGGGGCATCTCGGAGCCCTCTTGTGGAGTCTTGGGGGACTCTGGGGCAGTCTGGAGGCCAACTTGGGCGGTTTGGAAAGATCTTTGGGGGACGTCGGGACCCTGTTGGACCGTGTTGGGGGCTTGTTGGAGCCTTCTTGTCCCGTCTTGGAGCCCCTCTGTTTCCGGGAAATCATGGACAACACGCTCAAATATCCAGGAGCGCTCAGGAACGCCCAGGAGCGCCTGGAACTCGTGGCTTTGGGCCCCATAGCTGTTCACCGCTGAATGGAAGGGACTGGAAGGGACCTCAGGACACTTCGACTCGTGCCTCAAGGTACTGGCGGATATTTGTATCAACTTGCCGTGCGGGTCTGCACGGGCACCCGAGCTACTCGCACGCCGCGTTCGTTACGCGGAGCGCCTTTCGAATGGGCGTGGCCCCAGCGGGGGGATGCCATGCCCAGGCGTGATCGGCCACCCTCAGGGGTGCGAAAATAATCTTGCTTCGCCAGCGTTGTCTGGCCCTCGCCACTTCTCGCTTCCTCCTCTTCTCCTCGCCCGCCCCTTCCCGTCCTGCACTCTTCGGCGCTATGTGCGGAACATCGTTGGACGTGTCCGCGATCGGGGGTATCACGCTCACAAAGGTGCCGTGTTTGATCGTGTGCTCCAGACTCGCGGCCCACTGCCTGCGCTCGCGCATTGCAGGTCCACGCGGATTGCGTTCCCGCTTTGCTTTAGCGGGCGGTCCGAGGTTTCACCCCGTGGCGTCAGCCGAGAGATGTAGTTCTTCGGGCACTGCGGCTGCATGTTCACACCTTCGGCCTCCCCCCTCTAATCTCCTCCATCCCTCTCTCGCGCCCTCCCTCCTCTTCCCGCTGCCTCTTGTCCCATCTTTTGTCGGCTGTACGTTCCATGAGCAGTTCCGATGGTCTCACGCCTGCCTCGATCAGCTGAATGACATCTGCGCTGTCCGCTCCCTCGCCTCCCCCCGCAGCAGCGCCGTGGAAGGGGCAGGCCCGGCCGAAGGAGCGCCCCGACGTCCTCAGGCGGGAGCCGCCCAGAGCCCCCGAGGAATGCCCGACAGCTGCCGGGAGCTTCGGAAGACCCTCTGGGAGCGACTCCCACAGCGTCCACTGGTCACTGAGAGTCACCGGGCGCGTTCCACGACTCGCAAAGTGCCTGCTCGCAAACGTCCGAAAAGGACACGTCTGCTTCGATGTACCCATCGGTCGTTGAAAGTAGGTATTTCTGGATTCCCAGATTCCAATCTACTTTTGGCGCCTTCCTACTTCAAGGATCGACTGGCTTCACTTTTCCCTCCTCATCAGGGAGCGGGCGGAGGCCCAATCTACTTCAAGTGCCTTCCTACTTCATGGTTCTGCCTACTTCGTCCGACCGATGGGTAATTTCTCGTAGATCCCCCGCGGCGGATCCAGGCCATTGGCGAGTTGTCGCTTTGCGAGCAGTGGAGCGCGCTCCTCTAGCGAGGGGCCTGACGGCCCGCCCCGCCCAGGAGCGCGCGGGTTCGTGTCTCCGATCGGTCGGCAGTGTATCGCCGGTTCCAGCCCGACGTTGCCCCCTCAGCTGGCCCCCCTTTTTGACGCTCCCCCTCGACTGCGCTCAGATCTGGTCCCGCGGCCCCTCGCGTCGTGAAAGGAGGTGCCTCGGGACCTCGGCACGGGCGAGTGGACGGCCGAAGGGCGGAGGTAGTCGTCGTCGTCGTCGTCGTCGTCGTCGTCGTCGTCGTCGTCGTCGTCGTCGTCGTCGTCGTCGTCGTCGTCGTCGTCGTCGTCGTCGTCGTGGTCGTCGTCGTCCTCGTCGTCGTCGTCGTCGTCGTCGTCGTCGTCGTCGTCGTCGTCCCTTTCCCCCCTTCGCCCTGGCGCGCTGGAGCTCTCCCGCGCGCGCGAGGGGCGAGGCAGGAGGGAGGGAGGATCCACATGCTTGGCATCGCTCGGACGTGTGCATTTTTCCTTCGGCGAGGACCGTCGAGGAGCATCCTTGATCACCTGGCGAAAGAAAACCACGCACGAAACCGAAAAATCACAGGGAATGAACGTCCGTGCGATGGCCAGCATGGAGAGAAGGGGTCCCAAGTGGAGGTGGCGTTTCGCCGAGGCTAAGAATCCCCAGACCCAATATCACACTGAGCCCCTAATCCTGATCCCAAACCCCTCGTCGCCAACGTCGCCGTGGTGGGCCAGCTGAGCACCGGCACGAGCAAGTGAGAGGTGGTCCCCACTGGCGGAGACGCTTCCGACGAGTCTTTCGACGGCTTCCCGCGGGGTTTCCGCCTCCACGCCGATCGCGGTTCGAGCTGCTCGGCGCACCAGTGGGGGACGCGGACTTCTGCGCGGAACACATAATGCAGCGGGTCACGAGCACCGACGCGTTGTTGGCAGTTTTAGAGGAGTTAGGAAACGAACAGATAGCGATGCACTTCACTGCGCATCTTTCGGAAGGCTGGGCTATTCCGCGCGCGCGACTCTGTCCAGGCCTGCCTTGAGCAATCGGGCGGCTGCTCGCCCCCTGACGCCTCCTGGCAGCAGGCCCATGTTCGACAAGGGGCCAGGAAGGACTCGACCTGCGGTCCGCCGCAAAACACGCCGCCGCCACTTACATCGCTTCCCGAACGAAAAGCCCCAACCTCTGTCGGCAGCTCTACCTTGGCTATTCCAACGGCGCTGACCGCGAAGGCTGAGGCCTGGCCGCTGCGGCGCAGGCCCGCGACGCAGTCGTGCTGGACGCCGACAGGGTGGTGTTCGACCGCGCGCAGCACGGCGACCAGAAAACCCTTTACGACGCGGTGGGCAGCACCGCGCTCGACGAGCTTCTGGCGGGTGCCACAAGCCCCTGCACAACCGGGCGCCCTTCGAGCCCTTGGCCGCCGGCCACGCCGGGGCGGAGTTGGAACGCCCTTGACTGCCGCCCCCGCGCCCCGCCGGGGAGGCCAAACCCTGGGGCGAGCTGGGCGGGTCCCAGGTTGACGATGCTGGCCGCTGCCCTGCCCGCGTCTACCTTCCACGGGCGCAACGGCCCCGCGGCCGCCTGGGGCTTTGCCGTCGCGATTGGGTGGGGTCGCCGATCTCCCCGCCGCTTCGTCCGCTTCGTCGAGCGCGGCGACGGAGCGGTGCGAGCTGTACCAGGACAGCGCGCCGTTTTGCTCATGGGCAGCGATAGGAGGGGGTCTTGCCGATTCCATGTCGATGCCCCCCCTCATACCAGCCCCCCACTATCGTTGCCCCCCCCACTTGCGCGGCGCAGGCGTTTACCTTCCTTTCCATTGTGGTGGAAGCCCACGGCGGCGGGCGGGGCTTGGAGGCGCGCGGGGCCCTCGGGGTCCAAGCCAAGCGGGTGGGTGACGCCGACGGGGAAGACGCCGCAGGCAGTGGTTGCGGACCGCGGGCGGTGTTGGGTCTTCTCCAGACACATTGTGTAGGGGTGGGGGAGGCAGCGGCCCGTTTAGCCGCGGCCGCGGCTGTCTCCACGGCGGACGCCGTGCGAGGCATCCCCAGCGCTGCCCAGCGCCCCCCGCTCGCCCCCCGCCTTTGCTGGGCAGCGAGGATGCCCCCCTGCGACCTTCCGCCAGCGTCAGGCTGGCGGCCCCCCCCCCTCGCGCGTGCTGTCGGGCCCTGCCCCGGCGGGTCGGCTAGTGATCCCGCAGAGGTCCATCCCCACCGAACCGCAGCGTGTTGGGCTCGGTCGGCCACCCCGCGCCAGTGTTCGACGACCCCGACGGTCTCTCCCGACGACTGCAGACGACCCGCCCCCCCGACGCTCACCGCCCACTCCGCCGCTACGCCTGCGCCGCCTGGTCCGTGGCCTCGTTGCGGGTGGCCCTTCTTTCCTGGCCCCTGGCCCAGCCTGTCTGGGTGCGGCTGCTTCCTTTTTCCTCATCTTCATTGCGTCCCTCCATTTCCTCCTGCTCCTTGCCTGCTGTCTCCGCCCGGCCCATCTTCCGTTTGCCCGCCTGCCCCGCCGGTCCTTCCCGCCTGCGCGTTCGTCGTCGTTTGCCTGCTTACGCCCCTTTTCTCTTCCGCCGGGCAACGCAGCCTGCCTGGGACCAGCGTGGCGGCGCGCATGGCTTTATTATGGTGCCTGGCGCAGTCGTATTTTACGGTGACGGAGCACAATGAAACAGTAGCCTCATTCAGGCCCCGCTTTATGGATAATGCATAGTAGCGGATCGGTCTGATACGTTTGCAAAAGGCCCTCTTGTTCTGAATATTTTTGGCGGTCCTAACGTGCTCCCAAATGGTTAGCGGCCTTTTCATCTATCATCTTTTTTGGGACATCATTTTGGCCGCTGTCGCTAACGGGCGTGGCCTGGGGGGGGGCACTGGGGGAAGGGGCCGGTAGCTGACGATTCGGGCCGGCGCCGTCTTTTTGGGAATGCTTGGGAATGTCTTGCCCAAGCGGCGCATGGCGCGAATTATGGTGTGACGAGGCGGAGGATTGGGGGGCGGGGCCAGTCACGGGCGTCATCGGGAATAAACGATGATGGACGCCCGAAACGTTTGCCATTTTCGGTTTCTGGGGGCCCCTATGAACAACTGGTCCCCTCGAAGGGGTCCAGTCTTCGGGGGCCCACATGACATCATTGCGACGTCTGGGGGTGGACTTCCGGTGTCCATCCCGGCCGATTTCCCATTCCTGCGCAGTCATTGACGGCCCGACGCTTCTGAAGTCGGCCCAGGGAAGCCGAGTCGTTGGAGACGCCTCCAGGGCCGCGGCGTGGTGTGTTCTCGGAGGTTGCCTCTGTAGGTTTTCTGGTTTAGCAGAAATATTCATCAGGTTCCTTTTTCCTCCTCCTCCTCCTCCTTGTCCTCCTCCTCCTCCTCCGTCCTCTTCCCTCCTCGCTCCTCGCTCCTCGCTCCTCTTTCTTCCTCGCTCTGCTTTGTCCTCCTCCCCCGTTTTCCTCTCTCTCTCTCTCTTGGTCCTCCTTTTTTCCTCTCTTCCTCTCTCTCTCTCCTCCCCCTTCCCCTCCTCCTCCTCGTCCCTTCTCCAACCGAAGGTTGCCAGGGCGCTTCAGACAGCCCTGGGATACGGCTGAATCGTTCCTGAGCGTCCTGGAGCATGCCCAGAGCTCACAGGGAACGCTCCAGGACGGCTGCTTTTGATGAGCCAGCCCTTGACCCTACAGGTCCCCGCGAGTCCGAGGTTCACAGTCCTTCAGTGTGTGCGATGTCGGGTAGGGGGGCCCCCGCTCGAACTAGCTCTCCCAGGCTCCCACGATTCGCACGCGGCTTGAACGCACGTCCCCACACAGCCAGGCGCAAAGGCCAGGCGCAAGGCCAGCCCTCCGGGTTTCAGGCGGGGAAAAAAAACAGACACCATTAATCGTCGATTCCCCAGAAAATTATAGGAAATATGGGAAGTGGGGGGAAGACGAAAACCCTCCAAATACGGAAAAATATGGGGAACAGCTTTATTTGTGTGCATTTATCCGTAAGGGCTTCGCCCCCTGCCGCCGGCCCCCTCTCTCGGAGAATGGGCCATGGAAGAGCTAAGTCATGAGGCCTTGGCGCTGTCGTGAAGCAGTATCGAAACTTCATGCGAAGCCGAGTCGCAATCAGCAAAACCAACTGATCACAAGAGGGGTTACCACACCTGGCGATTGGTAAGACGTGTATGGTTTAAGGGCTTGGTTACCACACCTTGCGATTAAAGGGCCGAGGGAGTTCTCGCAGTTTGGGTTACCACGCCTTGCGATGGATGTGCGTGATGGGTTCGAATTTCAGAAATGTGGCAAATCCCCTGTGTTTTTGGACCCTGACCCCGCGGATCTGCGTGAGGGGTGGCACCGAATTTCAGAAATGTGGCAAATCCCCTGTGTTTTTGGACCCTGACCCCGCGGATCTGCGTGAGGGGTGGCACCGAATTTCAGAAATGTGGCAAATCCCTGTGTTTTTGGACCCTGACCCCGCGGATCTGCGTGAGGGGTGGCACCGAATTTCAGAAATGTGGCAAATCCCATGTGTTTTTGGACCCTGACCCCGCGGATCTGCGTGAGGGGTGGCACCGAATTTCAGAAATGTGGCAAATCCCATGTGTTTTTGGACCCTGACCCCGCGGATCTGCGTGAGGGGTGGCACCGAATTTCAGAAATGTGGCAAATCCCATGTGTTTTTGGACCCTGACCCGCGGATCTGCGTGAGGGGTGGCACCGAATTTCAGAAATGTGGCAAATCCCTGTGTTTTTGGACCCTGACCCCGCGGATCTGCGTGAGGGGTGGCACCGAATTTCAGAAATGTGGCAAATCCCTGTGTTTTTGGACCCTGACCCCGCGGATCTGCGTGAGGGGTGGCACCGAATTTCAGAAATGTAGCAAATCCCTTGTGTTTTTGGACCCTGACCCCGCGGATCTGCGTGAGGGGTGGCACCGAATTTCAGAAATGTGGCAAATCCCTTGTGACAAGTGTTTTTGGACCCTGACCCCGCGGATCTGCGTGAGGGGTGTCGATTTCGAGCCCCCCCAGCAATGCAGACAACGCGCTCAGGTGAGGCTAAAAATCCTGTTTGGGCCTCCCCCTCCCTCGCGCGGTCAATCAACTAGTTACAGTAACCAGCAAGAAGTCAACTAGTTCCAGTAACCAGCAAGAAGCAGAACTGTAACACTGGAAACTACAACCTACGACTGGTACAGGAAACTGCGAATCACGGGCCTACAGCTCGGTGGCCCCACAAGGGGGCCGGCGGATTTGTGTGTCCTGGGGCCCCTTCAGGGTTGGTCGTCTGCTCGTCGTTTCCCAGGTCCGCCAGCCCTCGAGGTTCCAGGAGCCGTCGTGCGCCCCTCCTTGTCCACAGCCGGCCCTCGTCCCAGCGCGTGCACGCCCGCGTGCCGGGCGTCTGCTGGGCTCGCGCTGTGGTGATCCTCCTCACGGCTGGGTTTGTCTCCTCTCCAGAGGTCTCCGGGTGCCCCCGGGTCTCCATACGTCCCTTCACGCCTCCATGGGCCCTTCGAGCCCCCCCTTCTTCGGCCTCCTCCCTGCAGGGCCCCACTCGCTCGAGAGAGCCTGGCGTGCTGAAGCGTGGAGTATCGAGCGCGGCGTGGGTCGTGGAGGGATCCCTCCGGCCCCCCCGCGCCATCGCAGTAGCGAAATGCACGTGCCGCGATCCGTGTGGGCCGAGCAACCTTGACCTTTGCAGCGCTCCAGCGAAAAAGCAAGCCCGCTCATCACGTCTGATCATGATCGGTGTTCGGCCGTGCTGCTGCTTCCTCCTGTTCCTCCTTCCTGCTCTTCCCGTTTCTTCCATCCTCCCTCGCCCCTCCCTACTTCCTCGTTCTCCTCCTCCTCCTCCTCCTCCTCCTTCTCCTCCTCCTCCTCCTCCTCGTCCTCCTCCTTTCCTTCTCCCTCTTGTGTTCCTCCTCTTCCTGTTCCTGCCCCGACCCTCTCCTCCCTGCCTCCTCCCCCTCCTCCTTCTCTCCTCCCCCCTTCCCTTTTTTTCCGCCTCCTCCCGCCCTCCCTCCTCCCCCTCCCTCCCTCCCTCCTCCTGCCTTCTCGTGCCTCCTCCTGCCTCCTCCTGGCTCCTCCTCCTTCCTCCTCCTCCTCCTCCTCCTCTCTCCTCCTCCTCCTCCTCCTCCTCCTCCTCCTCCTCCTCCTCCTCCTCCCCCCCCCTCTCCTCCCTCCCTCCCTCTCCCTCGGCCCGCGGGCGCTCCCCCCCCCCCGCGCGCGCGGCGCGCCCGGGGCAGGGCGCGCCTGGGTGTTCTCCTCGGGCGGGCGCCTCCTCCGCTGCCTCGGAGGCTTCGGGGCTTCGGAGACCCCTCGCGTCGTGAAAGAAGGTATCTCAGCTGGCCCCCCTTTTTGACGCTCCCCCTCGACTGCGCTCAGATCTGGTCCCGAGGCCCCTCGCGTCGTGAAAGAAGGTGCCTCGGGACCTCGGCACGGGCGAGTGGACGGCCGAAGGGCGGAGGTAGTCGTCGTCGTCGTCGTCGTCGTCGTCGTCGTCGTCGTCGTCGTCGTCGTCGTCGTCGTCGTCGTCGTCGCGCCCCTTTCCCCCCTTCGCCCTGGCGCGCTGGAGCGCTCCCGCGCGCGCGAGGGGCGAGGCAGGAGGGAGGGAGGATCCACATGCTTGGCATCGCTCGGACGTGTGCATTTTTCGGCGAGGACCATCGAGGAGAATCCTTGATCATCTCGCGAAAAAATCGGGGGAGCGTAAGATCCGGGTTTGCCAGGACTCGGGGTCGCCATCGTTTTTCGACGACCGCGCCTCGGATCTTGACGAGGAGGAGTTTCGTTGGATGTTTGCAGCGGGAGGCCTCGTCAAAATGCAGGCTCGGCCTCGTCATTTTTTTGACGGCCTCGTCGGGGATTTCCGAGTCCCCTGTAATTACCCGGGTCTTACGCCCCCCTGAAAAAACCAAGCACGAAACCGACAAAAACACAGGAAATGGACGTCCGAGCGATGGCCAGCCAAGAGACGGGGGTCCATGCAAACGGGGGTCAGCTAGAGCGCCAGATCCTGCAGGATCCTGCGAGGACCCCCTCTGGCTGACCCGGGTTCGCGAGCCGCTCCTGGCCGCGAGGCGGCCGCGCCCATTGGCTGACCCGGGTTTGCGAAGATCTGCGCTGCTGCATTGCAGTTTTTGGTTTCCTGCTGACCGGGGTCTGGATTGACCCGGGTCAGAAGATCCCCGAAGGCTGCGCGTGTTCCGCGGGCAGCGACAGGGTCGGGCATAGCCAGGACCCCAGATAAGGGGACCCGGTCAGTGGTAGGGCCTCGAGTCGGAAACTGGAACATACACATTACCAGTGGCGGGTTGTTTTTGCTATCCCACGACTTTTGGACGGTCAGGGGCGACGCTGGGGTGGTGTGGTGCATACTTATTTCCCCGATGTCCCGGGGAAACACCGAACAATGTATACACCAGGATCCCGTATACATCAGAATCCGCGTTCCTGTGCGAATTTCAGCGCAGGGTCGCAAAAAGCGTCGGTGTATAGAGTTCGTTTCCCTATCGGAGCCCCTAAGTTGGCCAGAATCACTAAACCAGGTCTGCCGTAGCTGGGTACTTTTTCGGGTGACGGCAGTTCCGGTTGGTGGAACGGGGCGGGGGGGGGCGTCCCCCAGTACACATCTTTAAACCAGGTCCCACTAAACCCAGTTCTGCCCACTCCCGATAGGGGGGGGATGGGCATCGGGGGGGATGATGCATCGACCCCGAGCGTCCATTCATCGCCGATAGTGGCCCGATAGCCCCACCCCGCCCAGGGACGTGGGGATTCACTGTGGGGTGGGGGGGGCCCATCACCGATTCGTCGGCGATGTATCGCCGATTCCAGGTAGATGCTTCCCCCCCTATGCCAGTCCCCCCCAATCGTTGCCCCTCAGTGTTACCGCTGCCTCCTCCCTCTTCCCTCCTCGCTCTCGCTATCTCTCCGCCTTCGTGCCTCCATTCGCTCCCGGTGCACCCTGCCGCTTGCTGACCGGCGTCTGACTCTCCGTGGGCCACCTGGCACCCGCGGACTCAGCAAGTGTTGCCAATGCGAACGCTCATCGCGGAAAGTTACGACGACGACAACGGCGACGTTGACGTCGACAGGAATTGGGACGGGGACGGGGACGGCAGCGCGATTGCGACGGCGACGGCGACGGCGGCGGCGGTGAAGACGATGACGACGACAACAACGACCACGGCGACGACGCCGACGCCGACGACGACGACGCCGACGACGACGACGCCGACGACGACGACGATGACGACGAGGACGAGGACGATGACGACGACGACGACGATCGACGACGACGAGGAGGACAATCTCCTCTTCGTGCTTGTCCCCCACGTCGTCGTCGTTGTCGTAGCCGCCGCCCCCGTCGTCGTCGTCGTCGTCGTCGTCGTCGTCGTCGTCGTCGTCGTCGTCGTCGTTATCGTCGCCGAGGAGGGGAATGCAGCCGTGGGGATGAGGATTTTCCAGGACATGCAAAAATCAAGGAAATACAGAAATCGTCGGATCTCGAGCCTCTTCGAACCTTGCCGTCGTCGCTGTCGTCGTCGTTGTTGTCGTCGCTGGTGCCGTAATTGTCGCTCGCCGTCGACGCTGCCGCCGCCGTCGTCGTAGTGGTCGCCGCCACCATCCTCGACGCCGCTGTCGCCGCTTTATCCTCCTGCTGCTGCTGCTGCTGCTTCTCCTCCTCCTCCTCCTCGAAAGTCCGCTCAATGTCGGCTCGCGGATCCCGCCCAGGGTCACCCCCCGCCAGCTTTCCCGACTCGCGCCGAGCCATGGCGACGAGAGTCTCCAGAATAGTGAGAACTTCCACCGAGAGATTACAATCCGTCTCTTCCTACGTCGCAGCTTTTTCGTTACGGCACCCCCGGGAATCTCGACCCCTTCCCTGGGGCTGGCTTTCATATCGAGTCGTCCCTTGACGGTCCCACGCCCAGGAACGCCCTCCGGAGCCCCGACACGGCGAAAAACCGGCCGTCGCGATGTTTTGCGCGACGTCCCGCGTCAGCGTCGTCGTTGTCGTCCGCCGCCGCCGCCGAGCGTCCCCCGCGGTGAGGACCTCACCGCGGCCACGGCCCGCGAGGCGGACCCTATGCCGCCCGCGTCGTCCGTCGAGGTCGCCGCCGCCGCCGCTGTCCGTCGGGGCCGTCGTCGCCACCGGTGACGTCGCTGCGGCCGTCGCTGTCGCCATCGGAGTCGCAGTTGTCGCTGTCGCCGTCGGCGTCGTCGTCGAGGCTATCGTCTTTTCCTTGAGATGCAGGGAGAGGTGGAAGATAATATCGGCGAGGAGGAGGAGGAGGAGGAGGAGGAGGAGGAGGAGGAGGAGGAGGAGGAGGAGGAGGAGGAGGAGAGGGAGGAGGAGGGGGAGGAGGACACAGGAGTATGAAGGACGAGGAGGGTACTGATGATGATGAGGAGGAGGAGGATGGAAGAGGTGCAGGAGGTGGCGGAGGCAGGTGGCCTCCTGAGCTTGCAAGTTTCCATGCCAGAGCACCGACGACGGAATCAAACCTACACCCTAGGCGATGCTTAAGAAAACTTACGTTTTCGGCCTGAGTCTCGATTCAATTTCATGTTTAATTTCAATCCTAAGAGTTTGATAGGCGTTCTGGGTGTTTACTCGGATTCTGAGACTATGAATTTCCAAACCCATGATTTCTTAAGCATTTCGCAGGGTGTACCGAGAAGATGACGCCCGAGGCAGTCTCCGCCACCGAGCAACTTTGTCGGCAGGCCTGTAGTCACGTCAATGCCACCGACAAGCAAGCAGCCAGAGCCATGATGCGGAAGGTCTACGAGCTCACGTCGATGGCGAAGGGCACGGGACAGCACCGACGGCAGGACACACCCTACAGACGACAGGGGCATCATCGCCAGGATGACGGATTTGGCTGGGTCAAGCGACAATGCGGGAGATTGGAACACCGCCGGGAGGGCCAGGCCCAACTCAGCTGAGCCCAGCCAGCGAGTGGCACGAGGGGCCCCGCGTGCCAGGAGGCGGGCCTGGAGCGCCTCGGCAGCCCACAGGGGTGGACCCAATCCGGCTTACCACACCGAAGGCGTCACGTACATGAGCAACGTGTCATCAATCCAGACACTAGGGGAACAAAAAGTGACATAAACATAAAAACTCGGAGGTCCGCGCGGATTTCTCGGATCGGCGCTGGACCCCCCTCCCTGGCGAGACCGTTTTTTTGTTTTTCATTCTGGGCCGATGACGGCAATCATTTGGGGGGGGGGAGGGGGCCAATGACGTCGCGTTTCGCGCCCGCGGCGTCCGGGAACTCTGGGAATCACAGGGAACGGGTAGCAGAAGCATGTCGGTGGCGATCTGCACCACGACGCCTGTGTACACTATAGTGCCTGCGTGCACCACAGCGCCTGTGTACACCACACCGCCTATGTACGCCACAGCAGCCGCGTGCATTACAGCGCCAGTGTGTGCCACAGTGCCTGCTGGCGCCACAGCGCTTGTGTACACCGCAGCGCCTGCGTACACCACATCAGCCGTGCGCAACACAGCACCAGTGTACACCACAATGCCTGCGTGCACTCAGCACCGCACCAGTGAATAGACCATTCTGCGGTGCACGCTGAGACGCCCGCGTGCGCTGCAGTGCCGATCCGGACGACAGGGGGGAAGGGTGAGGAGGAGGAGCAAGAGGAGGAGGACGAGGAGGAGGAGGAGGAGGAAGTGGAGGAGGGAGGAGGGA